TACTGTAAGTATGCAATTACATATTTTAAGTGTCCCCGTAACAAACTGATGGAAGGTGGTAGAAGGTGGAATTAATGATCAATTAATGATTTGCACATTTTTGTGCACCTGGTGCTACATACCTTCTTAATAGAGAAGGTAAAACTAAGAATGCACTTTCTTTTTCACACAGATATATTGGATGTTGGCTGATTTTATGAAAAATAATGATAAAGTAGAATTTGTATGTGTTATTTGTGAAATGATGTTAGTTTAATCTACTTTTAGGACTTTGTGATGACTAGTTGAAGGTCAAACATGTTTAAATGTGGTAAACCATATAATGTTAAGGGGATGTACTTATTTTTTCACCACACTGTACTTCAACATATTGTGTATCATTTCATTCTGGTAACTGCTGAATACAGTATGTTACAAACAACAAGAGATTATACAAAGTCTACACGGCAATGATTAAAACATTTTGGAAATAGTGATAAGGGCTCAGTTATTTGTAATATGATTTATGAATGCTTGTAAACTGAGCAGTGGTTGGAAAAGTGTCTAACAATTTCATTAACCAAACATGTATACACTCAAATTAACTGATTATAAGATAATGCATGTTTTTGTTATTATTTTCCACAGCATTAATGTCACAGTTTAGGATTATGTGATTTTACTATTTCTCCTGTATTTTAGGATGTGTCATTACAATGACATGACCTGGAAAATTATGTAGATTTTCAGAACTACACAACAAATTACAGAATTGTTTTTTTATATTAACATGTACTGTTTTTTGTACTGGCAAAAGCAAACATGAGATATTTAGAGATATACAGAAATATACAGAAAAAGAGAAAAAGGGAAATTCAAATGTTTCTCATTTGAGTTCATTCACCAAACATCCAAAACAGCTTTTACTTAGAAAATATGTTTTATTGTCCTCAGGCATCATGATACATACTATATGTGCTTGTATTTTCACTAAAGTTGCCACATGTGAGACAGCTGTATTCAGAATTGAGTTAAAATGAACATCTTAAGTGTTTTTATTTTACAAAGAAAAACTTTTCAATTTTTGTGACTAATCAGTATGTGCATGATCTGGAAAAAAAAGTTAATAATTAGTTAGTTTAATAACTTTAAAACAAAGAGGCCCATGTTCATATTCTAAATTGTAGTGTTTCAGGGTTGAATGTAACAAGCTTTAGCTTTTTACACATTTTGATGTCCTGGTATCATAAAAAGCCTATACTGTAGAAAGTTGCCCAAAATGTAACTATGTTACAACAGAACTAATGTCAAGTTGAATATGTAGTTTTTATTAGTTATGTCTGTTGTATTTTTAACATAAGATTTTCATTTTATTGTAGCAAGTACAAAGTATTATACCTAGGTACTGTAGAATGCATTAGTAATATATGGTAAAAAGTAAAATAATATATTTATATATTTTAGTCATTTCTTTGTTGTTGCATTGAAAACATGTATTTGGTTAGAAGGACCAAGTTATTTGATAAACATTATAATTGCTGTTTAGCATGCCTTGAAAATTATGAACATTTAGTGACACAATGCCTTTTATGAGACAGCCAGTCATATAAAATTGGAGGAATAGCAGAATTATTCCAAAAAATGACAATGTTTCTTGAAATTATCCATGATAGAAGGTTTCAAACCACATAGAAGACCCTAAACATTTCATCAGTCTGTCTACTGTTAAGAGTAGTGTTTCTTGCAAAACAGAATACTACCATTTACTTGTGGAATATTTCATATTAACTGACATACAGTAGACTGGATACCTTTCAATGAGTTTGAATCAATTTTCATATTTTTCCAAGATCTGACCAAGTAATCATTTTCTTGTACTTTTTAGCCCAATAAACTAAATATTCGGTCACATAATTCCACTGATACGGAAATAGACATCTCCAGATGTGAAAGCCTATTGATAGTCAGTCTGCATTTTAGCCAGCAGCACAAGACACCTTTTCAATTGTATACTCTGAGTGCCTAGGGAGAAGAATTATCGAACACTAATAGAATAAAACATCTGTCTGATAACTAAATAGGCTAGGTCTGGATGATACTACTGTCCTGAAGTGACCAATAATGAGACTTATTTCCCAGGGGTCTTGTGGTTGTACTACTGTGAAGACATGCATTTGTCTTCTACAACATTACATTCCTTCTGGGATTGAGGGCAAATAACACTTTTTCCTTTAAATTAAACAATTTACTCAACAAAGATTGTAGATTCCATACCCCAAATGAGAATTCTCTTTACATAAAGTGAGTCTCTTTACATTACATAAGTCTTAATAGAAATAATAATAATAATAATAATAATAATAATAACAATAATAATAATAATAATAAATAATGTTCTTATATATTGTTGATATAAATTTGATTCTTTTG